AGCAGGTCCACCGACTTCAGTGGGCCTATGCACGCTCACAGCGTTGCTCTTGTCCTCATTCTCCAGCAGGATCAATGGTTTTAAAAAGCAAAATTAGGCTGCTGGTCTGTGGGGAAAAAAAAGGGTAATATCTGCTGTAAAGGTCAGAAAATATTTATGTGGCATCTTACACTAACAGAGTACAGGCAGCACAAATCTTTACAAATAGGTGTCCTGCTGGTACCAATTGAAATGTAGGAGGCAGTTAGTGTCTTTCAATTGTAAGTGTCATTTCATCCCCAGGGAGGCATTTAATGAATGATATTTCCCTACTGAGAGTCCTGTCTTTTCTATCTGTACTTCATTAGTAATAGTTGAGGATCGTCCTGTTAATAAAAAATGTATGCACTGCTTCCCTGATTTTTCTCATACCGTATTATGAAAAAGGATGTCGTTCCTACAGAACTAGGTAGAATACTTTACCTTTAATTATATGGTGTCTTCCTGTCTGCAAGCAAGTTTCCCCCACTACTTATTAGCAAGCCAAAGGGAAGAAAAGAACAAAACAGAGAAAAGAGAACAAAACCCAAATAAAATAATGATTATTTGCAAATCCACTTGCCTCTGAAAGTTTCCTCCCTCCCCATCCAAGCCTCGTGGCACGGATCGGTCTTAAGGATAATTCAGAATGCAACTCCTATCTGCAGTGAGATATCTACATGTCGTGGTTTAACCCCAGCCGGTAACCAAGCACCACCCAACCACTCGCTCACTCCCCCGCGGTGTGATGGGGGAGAGAGTCAGAAGAGTAAAAGTGAGAAAACTCGTGGGTTGAGATAAAGACAGTTTAATAGGTAAAGCAGAAACTGTGCACAGAAGCAAAGCAAAACAAGGAATTCATCCACCACTTCCCATGGGCAGGCAGGTGTTCAGCCATCTCCAGGAAAGCAGGGCTCCATCGTGTGTACCAGTGACTTGGGAAGACAAACACCATCACTCTGAACATCCTCCTCTTCCCCCTTCTTTCCTCAGTTTTTATTACTGAGTATGATGTCATATGGTGTGGAATAGCCCTTTGGTCAGTTGGGGTCAGCTGTCCCAGCTGTGTCCCCTCCCAGCTTCTTGTGCACCCACAGTGTACTTGCTGGTGGGGTGGGGTGAGAAGCAGAAAAGTCCTTGGCTCAGTGTAAGCCCTGCTCAGCATTGATGAAAACATCTCTGATTTATCAACACTATTTTCATTGCAAATCCAAAACATAGCCCCATGCTGGCTACTATAAAGAAAATTAACTCTATCCCAGCCAAAACCAGCCCACTAGGGGAAATGGATGCCTCACTCCTTCTGCGGAGGTGGACCTATGATGTGAAACACTTGTCTTACTGAGTAGGAATAATTTTATCCATAGTGAAATCTTGCAGTTGTTTGACTGGGTGGAGCATTACTATCCTACTGCTGTTAGAGGGAGAAGAAAATCACAGGTGAGAACTCAAGATATCACAAGTAGATCTTCCTGGAATAATTTCAGATTCAAAACTCAAGCTGTAACAAAAATCTGAATCTTTCCCTGATGTCTCAGGGAAAGGGACTATGTTGACCTGTTTCTCTCCCCCAGGATCAGGGTCTGCCATTCACTTTCTGATAATGCCTTGGTTAACAGCTCTCCTGTTTTCCAACAGTGTTTTCACTCAAATTTACTTTCTTATAACCTTGATCAACTCCACAAGCATATAGATTATTTAATAACAGAAGTACCATATGTTAATGGTCTAATTAAATACAATAAAACTCTTTAACATGCAAATACAGAGCCTCCCAGGAACTATTCTGAGTGCTTTTGGGGATCAGTTCAGAGACGCAGATCTGCCTTTATATCCGCAGCGTTCCTGCATGGGGCACTCGCCGGGGGCGGCACAGAACACACCGCGCTGCCTGGCATACAACGGTCCCGTTTGTCCCCCGTGACCCATGAAAACGCTCTGGATTCATTGCAAGTGTGAATTGCAAGTGAATTTGTTGCATGTGATAAAAATCTGATAGTGGGCTAAGAAACAGGTTTTGTGTTAGACACCAGCTCTCCGGGTGCAGGTGCTCGCTGTGGGCTGGTCCATGTGCTTCCGAGAACTGGGCTCTCCCGCTGAAGTGTGGCTGCTTACCTCTCTCCTTTGGACCCTTTCCACCACCCTGAGGAGCTGCTCCTCCAAGTCTGCTCCTGTGTTTGCACTTAGGCACGTGTTTGAGTGCTTTGCTGAAGCAGAATCAAACTGGCCAGTTTCAATATTGGCTCAGTTTTGTTAAATTGAGCACGTTGTGTTTTGTTACATAGCTTGGGGGGTGAGAGAAATCCATTAAACTTGAAGTTAATTAGTACGGGAAGACTGTAATGTACCAAGATTGCATGAATGAAAGTAAGGTCATTACTATTTAATTAGCAAGTGCATTTTGATTTTTTTAGGTTATTTTTTCCTTTTTGATTTAATTCAAAATATTACAGGTACTTTGCATATAATGAAAGAAGAATAAATTAAGGACAGGAAGCTGAAAAGACATTAAAAACCTATGTGTTTTTTTTTTTCCTATTAAGTACATGCTGTTGATCAGATAAGAAAGCTTTTATTGCTGTGGTCTGTTCTCATTTCGTAGCTAAATTGTAGCTGAAAAGAAGCTTTACATGACAGAGTCCTAATTTATATTACCAGGAAGAACTGAGCTTATAGAACTATTAAACCAGAATAGTTGCTTCTTCTTCTTCTTCCTTATTTCTGAGACCTTCCTTTGAAGCAATGGGGACCTCCAGGTGATTACAAGAAAAGTTTACACTCAGCTGTGTGCACACAGAATCTGATTCATACCGTGGGCTGCTTTCTTCTTAATTTTCCTTAATTTAAGGTAAGTTGTTGTAGATTGAAACTTGACAGTTACTCTCCTTTATGGAAAGTTATATTGGTCTCATTCACAGGAACAGGTCTCACCAGTTTCTACTCCCGCAGCAGGAGTCCCACTGATGTAAAGGACAGTAAAATGGCGTGTTGTCATGTCAAGTGCATGGGGTAAGTACAGAAAGCTCTCTCCTGGGAGCGTCACTGCCTGCACAACTTGCTCAGTCTGTCCATCCATCACCTTCCTGCACGAGAAGCAGGGCTCGCCCTGCGCGGGGTGAGCATTTCTGTGCCTAGTGACGGGCACTGAGTCATTTCTCATAGCTGCTTGGGGTGGCACCCAATACAATTATTTATAATGTGAATAATCTGCATCTTTTATCGAATCTGGTTGTGCGTTTAACTTGCATGCCACAGCCAGGTGCGCACAAAAATGTTCACTGAATATTACCAGTGGCTCACGCCTGCCATCGTGGGAGTGTGACGATTGTGGAAATATTCTCGTGCATTGGGAGACACCTGCTGTGCAGTCCACAAATCGCAGCTCCACGCTGCGGGTACTGTGCTCAGGCTCCTTGTTCTGGCTGCGGAAGGTAGGCGTGATACCTAAGTTGGTGTCTGTAAAAGGCAACCTGAATGTAAGTGCTTACCTCGCTCCATGGACTGTGAAAAGAACCTAGATTAGGTAGATGGTCTGCATGGTTCCTTAATCTTTTTAATCTTCAATTTTATGCAGGCATCTACACCTGCCTCGGCACTCAAGCAAGCTCCACATCCCTGTATGGTTCCCTTTGCTTCCTGTGAATGGTGATAGTACCACTTGTCTGCCTCCCAGGACTGCTGTGAGTAAATGCATTAGAAATCTATTTGGCTGGGGTAGTTGTGGGACCAGAGAAGTATTTCACTAGTGCTCCAGTATCATTTGCTCTTGTAGTTGTGCCAGTTGTTGTGCAGTTATGGTGTTTTCTACAGAAACCACTATATACTGCAACTGCTGTCCTCACGCACACCACTGTAGGAATGACGCATGCTGGTGATGGGCATACTCAGCTCTGAAAGATGCAGCCCAAGAAGTTTCTGGAACTTCTGTGTTCCCCGTGTTGGTGGCTAAAATTTAAAAATCCACATTTGTAGTGCTCGGTGGGCTGTCAAAGCCGAGATCTGCAGGATTTAAACCATTTTGTGACAGCTGCAGGATAGCACTTCAGTTTCCACGGAAACTGGCACTGCCTCTCCAAAATCAAGGTGAAGTGTTGGCTGATTATCTAGTAATAACACTGAGCATTTAAATATGAAGTTCTTCTCTTCTTCCTCTTGCTGAAACAATTTCCATTTCTACAGCATCCAGCAAATGCAATAGAGGTTTTGCGAATCCAAACTGTTGTCACAGCTTGGGCTGTGTGATCTACTTTCCAGATATGAAAGACAGAATTCAGCTTTGACTGGTTCAGCCACTGAGCCTTATGCTCTGCTGTCAAGATAAAGGGCTAATTTTCCCCCACGTCTACTGCACAAACTGGTACCATTGTTTATATGACAAATTGCAGAATAACAGAAGTTCTTTTGGTTTACTGTGCGCTTTTATACTATGCCTTTCTAGAATATTTTTGTCCTCAAATGCATTTCCTTGTAAATAATTCTCATTGCATAAACTTCTTATCTGCTTGCACTCTTGCTTATCACCTGGATTTAATCGCTGTTTGGCTTTGCAGTCACTGGACTCTTGTTTTGAACCAGTGAGTTTCATCGTTTTGCTGAACATTCCTTTTTCCAGGTCATTGATTTCTAAGGTTAACAAAATGAATCCTCCTGCTGATCCTTGTTACATCCCACTAATCTTCTTGCTATATTCGCTCAATTACCTTTTGTCTTCAATTTCAGAGGCATTTATTGAACCCACAGATCAGTCTTCTGTGCAGGAAGCAGTTTCATATTGGATTCAGGAACATGTTCGTGTGAATATTTCTCATACTTATACCTCAATTTGTTAAGGTTGTTTAAATTTTCTTGGTTAATTTGCTTCTTGACATGCCCTTTTAAGTGTACTTTCTCCACTGCTTATTTTTTGCAAGAGATGTCTTTCTTTCTAACCTCTATTCTTTTCCATCTGCTCTTAAATAGTATCTTCCACTGTTTGACAGTGTTGACTTTCCACTTTGCAGCACTTTATCTTTTCTACCTTTCTGAATCATTTGATTCCTATGCCAACATTTGCTCATTTTAGGAAGACAATAAGAGCAAATATTCTCCTGAAGGACATTTGCTCTGTTTTCCTTAATAGGATATTGGGGATTTTCTTAGGCCTGTCTTTTATATCACTAACTCCATGTCCCTCTTTTTTTTGACTGGGGGTCGATATCCACTTCAGCCAGGTTTGGCATGATAAGTTGTATCTCAGCTCAGATGTACTGGGGAGAGCATGGAAGCACAAAATCAAAGAAGCAATGTTCATGGCCTAACACCCCAGGATACACTTTGAATCAGCTGGTTATTAATGGAAAATGGGGCAGAGCACAGGTCTTACTCCTTTGATATGATCTTCCTCCAACACAAATGACCCCTGTTTCACGTACCTATTACCGAGTCTGCTCTGTCATAGTTATTGTCTTTGCTAGGATTGCAATATGGAGAAAAAAGGGCTTTTTACGCATTCATTAGTGTACTGAGGGGTTGTCTTCAAGTGTATTACAGTAGCAAGGGTCCTATGTCTGTCACAAATGTAATAAAAGAAGCAGCCCAAACTAAACATCTGGCTGCAGAGAAGCACACTATAGTGTGTCTAGGGCCACTGTCACTCGGAGTTGCATTTTTCACATCAGAAATCTGTTATTTCCAGTGCCCAAGGACCGTGAAGCCATTTACAGAACATACTGATATCCCAGAACAAGTCACGTACCTTTGGCAGTGGCTCAGATGGCTGGGAGCTCAGAAATGAGCAATAAAACTGAAGCTCTGGAGAACAATAGCTTCTTCGCTAGCCTAAGGTGAGGCACATTTTTAACAGTGTCTGAATATGACTGAAGATAAGAGTTTGACACTAGGGCATTGAGAAGGAACACAAAGGACACCTCTTCTAATCAACAAGCTTGCTTATAAATACAATTTCTCTTTAGAAAAAAAAAACTCAAAAGATGCTCTGCCTTGTAAAGTACTTTTTAGCAAATACTTGGTTTTGCTGGATCATTTTTTATCTTAGATGATCCTACTTTATTTTGAATGTATGAAGTTAATTAACAAAGCCATTCTGAGGTCACGTAACTTCGTTCGCAGACTCACCGAAGCTCTGGGCTTCTCTGAGGAAATGCAGAAGTTGAATGCGTGAGATGAGCACCTCGAAAACCTCATGGTAAATCCCTTCACATTCGGACAATTACTTCCCAGTCAGCGCGTTTGAAAAATTATGACACACTTGAAAAAGCCCAAGCCCATGACACCCATAGGCTTTAAATTAGAGGTGGGGAAGGTGTGTCATATTTAAAATAAGAACTTTTGTTTAAAAGCCTTCAGGGCACTCTGAAATGCATCATAGCAGGGGGCAAAGCCTGGGCGAGCAGGGAGCTGATAGAAGATAGTCTGCAACAGGCATGGAGTTTATACAGCCTTGAACATTGACTACAAATTTGAATTTAGTATGTTTTGCTGAGCAGCTTTGAGCTACTGGATGTTGCATTTTTTGAAAAAGGAGCTTTGGTCAATAGCTGGGTAGTAATAGAAGAAAGAAAAGAATGAACAGCTACTTATACAGGTTAGAGTGGTGTACTACTTCACAAAGTGTGGAGGTGTTGAGTCTTCTACAGTACTTGCTGTGGTCCCACCAAACTACTGCTAGCAGCTAGCTCTCCATGAGTGGGTCACCAGCCACTACAGTCCCACAGAAGCCCATTAACTTAAAAAAGGGGTCTTTTAAGACAGGAGGAAGAAAGATAACACTATTAGGTAGTCTGGTTCATTGGAAGCACCTAGGCCTTTCTCAACATGGACAAGCCAGTTCCTTTTTAGAACAAATACACATTCAACAGCATTTTGGGTGACTTCCATTTCCAGTAATACTGTTGTAACATAGGAAAGAGAGGTATGTTTGACTTTAGCATTTTCTTCTTTGAAACAAACAGCAGAAGGAACAGAGAAATTACAAGAGGTAGTGAGTTTAGCAAACCTGCACATAAAACAATCTTTCATAAGAATAAAATGCTGCATTTACAGCTTTAAATGTATACACCCGTATAATTTAAAAATACAAAGCTACTTTTACTGTGTTTCAGGGCTTGCTCTTTTTTAGTTCAGAGAATGAAATGCTCAAGTGCTGGACTTAAAGTGGTTAACCTCATTGCATTGGCAAACCCAAACCATTCATGCAGCACTGGGCTTTTAACTCATATTAAGTGAGAAAGTTAAACTCAGCAGTTAGTGCAACCGAAGTGCAATTGTGTTCTTCACACTGTGTACGTTTTGACTGGCTTGTAAAAAGAATGTAGAAGTTCATGACTCTCCCTGGCAGCTTCTTGAGAAGACCAAAGAAAACATGATCTGCAACATACTTGGCCACAGTCTGAGTCCGAATGAGAAGACAGGCTTTTATCAGACAGTGGAGAAAAGTCAAAGTCAGCTACCTGGAAAAGGAACATCAAAGAGAGAATTTTTAGTTTGGGTCCTACTGGCTCAAGTGAGTCCAGCAAGAATACTTTGGGCCAGAAACGACACTTGGTCCTCAACCTCAATGATAATGTAGCAAGTGAAAGCTACACCAGAGTTGAAAAGGAGCTGGGGAGATAAAGGTCCCATACTAGGGTGAGGTGACAATTTAGTGCCACTTTAGGTAACATACCCACCCATTTTGACTGTCCTGTATTCTCTCTCACTACCCTGCTGCTTTCTTTCATGTAACCACTCTGAGGTAGATCTTCTGGAAGGGATACTTCAATGCCACTATCTGCTTGGGAATATTAACAAACTGCCCATGATAGCCCTGAGAACTTCAATTATAGTTATAGCTCTCCATGAGCCAGACACATGCCTGTTGCTTAAAGTGTTTGCCTACACTGTTCAGATTTTTCCATGGAACGGATCAGACATACCGGGGAAATACTCCCTCTCACTCTGCTTGTCTGGAGACTAAAGGAGGCACATGGCTGGAAGGTATCTAATTACTACCCCAGCTCAAAATAAGAGTAACTGAATACCTCCACGAGATCTTTTTGTTGTGTGTTACTTCGAAAGGTCGTGTACAGCACCAGTCCTAGCGTCACTGAAACCAGAGCGATGCAGAGCAGGACAAAGAAAGCTGGGTGGATCCCTAGGAAAGAGCAGAAGGGCACATTTGTGGAGTGATACAACACACTGAGAAGAGGCAACAGTGAGAAGGAAACAATGTTTTAGGAGAAGGCGTTTGTTGTTTTTTTTTTTTTTTATTTTTAAAACAAAGGACATACATGTAGCAGGGAATGAATTTTTCAGCCCAAATCAATTCAGACCTTTCTGAAATCTCAGAAGTAGGAACGTGGGGTTGTGAGGTTTTAAGAGTCTTTCCCATTTTACTCCTCTTTTTCCTTGAACAGCCTAAAAACCCTGCCTAGTTACATATGTTAGCCCTAACTTCCAGGGTGTTTGTACCTCTGCAGTACCCCAAGAGGACAGGAGGGAACCTCATCTTCACAGCAGCGAGCAGGATTTGCACACTTAGCCCTGAATGCACACCAGTGCCTTCTGGAGTGAGCTGCCCTGTCTGTATACAAGTGCTGGCCCACTGTGAGATAGTATAGCCATTCTGTATCACAGCCTGGCTGTCCCCGGCTCAGGTCCTCTTCACTTGGCCACCTAACCACTTGCTCAGATGATTCAGGGACCCGAGAGGGGCATGTATGAGTGTACATGGGGAAGCCAGCAGGGATTGCTGGCTCGGGGCACAGAAATCTGTAATGAAACGGAGGCCTAGAAAAATCTACCCTTAAAAAAAACATAACTAAACTAAACAAAAAGAATTGAGACTGCTTAATTAAGGGAGTGTTACAGATGTGCATCTTTTCCTAGTTATCTTCTCTAACTACAAGAGCCAGACTATTTAAACTGAAAAATATGTAATTTAAGTAACTCAGCCTTCCGAGGAAACTCATTAGCTTCAAGACACTCTTGAGACTAAGGGTTCAGCAAGATGCAGGAAGCTCAGAGCAATTACAGTAGACACGGGCTTTCCTTTCTCTCTCTCCTTCCTATGCTTTTAGGGTTCTATAACAGTTTCCAGAAACCTCATCTGCAGGCTGGTTTGATCCATAATTGTCCCTGATGTGTTTGAGACTGTCGGTTCCCAGACAGGGAATCTCCGTGCAGCTCAGACTAGCTGTTCCTCACCTGTTGGCCACACTTTTATTTCATGGTACGTCTGCAGCATTGTCACACCGTTCTCCACTCTGACGCTGAGGCAATACTGTCCAGCATCACTGAAGGTATGGCTGAGATTGTAGCAGGAGCCATTAATAACCACCAGATGGCATTTTTCACCTTCAAGTGGAATGCACTCAGCCTTGATAAGCCAGCACAATGCCAGTGGGGGGCTAAAATGACAAGAGCAAAAAAATTAGGTTGAAAACTTGGCAAAAAATTTCAGCTAAGAGCCGATGAATCACTCAGTTAAAGTAGCATAATAATTTAAAAAATACTGAAGTTAATCTAAATACAAATAGAGACGTAATTAACTGCACAATTGTTTAGTTTATAGTATTTGTCAATTGAAAAAGTTCTTTGTGACACTTCTGTAAAAGCCAGCCTTTCAGCTGAGAGCTAAATACCTGCCTAGGTCATAGAAAGGCCATTGTGTGTAGAAAACCCCTTAGTCCTTCTCCAATAAAGATAAAAGGAATCTTTTTTCCTGCACTTCGGAGGGAGTATAGGTTTTCTTTCTTTGTTCTTCTCAAATAGAAAAAATCACCGTTTGTGCTACTGAAGCACAGCCAAGACTTTTCTGATAAAAAAAACTCCAATAAACAAATGTAAGACGGAAGCACAGCCAAGACTTTTCTGATAAAAAAACTCCAACAAACAAATGTAAGACTCTGTACAAAGAGCTCTGTACAATGGATTAATAGCTAGAAAGGTAAATAAATTGCAAGGATCACAGTACTCCCCTACAATAACAAAAAGGGTTCTATTTGCTGTCAAGCAATCTAGGTGCTAACCATTTCATGGCCACGTGTCTTCTCACCAGGTCTAGTTGATGCCTTTTATTTACATTTTCAGACACTTGCTCAAGCTGAGTCAGATTGGATTCACCTTAAGCACTGCTGACTTTGATTCTGACATCAGACAGAGCTTTTCTTTACCCTGTCTTACTATTGTTTTGTTCCTTATCTCTTTAGGACATTCTCTGCTAAAGAAAGCAGCATGTTTCTGTGTTTAGCTCATTTTCTAGCTTTCTGTTTGACAAACCATCTCTCAAGCCTTTGTCATTGCTTTTGGATCATAAACTGCTATTGCATCAGTCCCAGCCCTGTGGCTAGGAGGTTAGGTCTAGCAAACACGGTCCATCCAAAAACCAAGCCTGCTTTTAGGGATCTCAAGTTTGCCTGCAATGGTTTTTAGCCATTTGCATTTACTTGCATGCCATCTCCAGTTTCCACTCCTGCAATGTGCCATTCAGTGTCTGAATGAAAACTGTGCTGCTTTGTTTATTGGGATTATTTATGCCTTTGGCAAATGACTGCGTTGGGTGCTGCTCGCTCTGTCCTACATGCCTAACAGCACTGATCATTTTTGTTTCCGTGTTTGGTTTTCTTTTTTAAATCCAGCGTTAGGCTAAACGGCTCCCAATAGCAGAACGTGAAAGTATCACTCTTCTGCAGAATAACTTCTGTGGTCATGGAGCTTTTATGGTGAAGGAACTTTCCTGAATGTTTCAATGGTATTTAAAATGCTTCTGCCATATAAAAAAATTCACGTGTTCTAAATACTGCAGCTTGAGAGAGCTTGTGCTAGGATCAAGGTGCTCATGACTTTCCTACATTCTTATAATCCTCACTGCTTGGAGCTTCTCTCTCTTATTAATCTTGTGGCAATCTTAACTTTGCCAACATTATTCCCCAAATGCCCTATTCTTATGTGCCAGACACGGAAAGCTGCTGGGACATCCTGTGCTTTATTTTGTATTAATCTTGTGGCAATCTTAACTTTGCCAAAATTATTCCCCAAATGCCCTACTCTTATGTGCCAGACATGGAAAGCTGCTGGGACATCCTGTCCTTTATTTTACAGTTTAATTTTGTGGTGGGGAAATTGGTCAAGGAGAGAAATTCAAAAGGAAGTTTTAAAATGTAATTATTTCAACAATCTTTCTCTGGCTAATTCTCTTTTAATATTCCCTTCACAAAGACATAAAACTAATGTTTGCTTTATGTAGGAGGATTCTACTTTTCTGTAAAGATGTGGGCTTTATCAGGGTCTTAGAGTTCATGATATTTTGAGTCAGGAAAAAGCAATATTCAACAGCATTTTGTTCAAAGGAAATTTCTTTTTGTTTTAAGAAACTGTCCTGTGGGGTGCAACTGACTATTTTAAGGAAACAGTGGGGAAAACCACTTAAATAGACAATGCTTTTGGAGGGGAAAAGTTATGTTTGCTACTTACGTTCCATTGATATGAAGAGATAAACTCAAGTTTTCCATTACATGAGTTTCTCTGGAGCCCACTACATTAACACTTTTAACAGCATCTGAGAGGAAGAAAAAAAGCACGTCACACTCCAGGTATAAACTTCACGTTAACTGGTTTTCCAGTGAAGGTTTGTTTTCATAGACTTCACAGATTTTAGTTCCCTCAGTCACACAAATAATAACATTTGCCTTACACTCAAAAAGGAATCCTACTAGCAGAGTTGTAAGTTTTCTGAATGTTTTGTGATTTCTTTTTAGTATATAATCAACTATTTTATTAATTCTTTACATTTTTACTTATGCATGTGTTTATTCCAGAAGCTGATCAAATCAATGAGACTTTCCTAACACTTATTTTTCAGAGATAGGCAACATAAATTAAACAAACAAATCCTTCATAACTTACAGTAAACATTTTATTGTATGTTTTAAGTGTATGTGAAACTTTCACAAAAGACAGTGAAACTTTTGGTAAATGAAAAAGGAGCAGAATATTTTATATATTTCTCCCCATTTTTTCTGCACTAGAACAGCGCAAAGTCCGTTTCGCAATGGAAACTCTCTATGGAATACTGTTGACCAGTTTTTGCATGTGAAACAATACTGAAGTTGTATTACCATATTATCACATTAAAGCTAGATTGTATCTGTACATATACAGCAAGTTCTGTTTTGAATATGCAAAATGTTTTATAATTACCTAATAGCTCCAGAGCAGTGGTAAAATCACCAGTTTTCTGCACCGTTTCTCTTTCGTGTATGATGCTCCCAATTTGCTCCCATTCAGCTATGACTTTCAGATGCACTGTGCGGTTCCCCATGGTAGAGCAGTTATAGTAGACAAAGGGTTCCTTGGTAATCTGGTAAACTCTGTGTGTAACATGAAAACATTTAGAATCAAAATTGTCTTTTATCAAGTCCTCGCATATTTCTGATTTAAAAAGGAGCAAGCTCAAATATATTTTTATTTATAGACAATGCTACAGTCAGCTGTGATTCTAATTCTACTCTATGTCCACATCAATGAGGGTTAATGTCTGTGGCACTACCAATAAAACTACAATCAGTGTAAGACCCAGTATATATTTATGCATTTTTAATCAAAGAAACTAAAGATAATGCTAATGCTAAAAGAATTCACAAAATGGAATAGGAATAGTCAGTAAATGATGAAAACTACTACCTTTATAGCAGGTGGACTATAGGCTAACTGAAGCACTAAGAGGAGGAGGGAGAGAAAAAGAAAGAAAGAAGGAAATAATTTAGTATTCCGAGACTAAAGCTCACATTTCTATTTGCATACACTTATTTGTATTGGACATATGCTTGTCCTCAGAGAAGGAAAATAACGGAATGCCTTTTTTCCTCCCTACTGCAGAGTGGCTTAAGGGCTAGATACTACCCATGGCTTTATTTCTGACGGTTATGAGCTATGTTGGGGTTTTTCCCTCCTTCATCTTGTTATTAGGTAAGCATTAGGTGTGTCTTACTGTGCAACTCTATATTATTTGAGAGACCTATCCACTTTCAAAAGCTCCTCACCCAAGCTGTGGTATATTTATGGGTAGCTGGTCATAGTAACAGCTACTTACTGCTTCCATTTCCTTAAGTGCACAAATTATTCACACACTCAACAACAACAACCTGCTAATAGAGATCTGCAGGTGTAATGATGTTCTACAATAACAATTTACAATAAGTTACTTTTTCCAGTTAATTCAGTTCAGCTCATTGCACACACAGTAATACAACTAAGCATATATTTGAACAAGAAATTTGGGTCTTTAAAACATTACCTTTTTGTGAATGTGTAGTGATTTCTGTGCTAAAGTTTTCATAATTCACCTGGTTGACATGCTAAGAATGTACCACCTGACACACGTGTATGCTTTGTCCTTGGTCCTTTAATCAGGATTTTTCTGTAGATCAGCATCTGAATCAGAGCCATCTTGAATACTCATTAAAGAAAACGAAGTAATCACACTTACCCATCTCCAAAATCCCAGTTGTAGACAAATGATGCTGACTTGAAGTAATGACTTGGGTCATGAAGACAGAAAGAAATTCGAGTCACGGCGCCTGTGGATGAACTAGAACCACGCGTGATAAATCTACTGTCTTCTATTTGGGCAATGGTAAGATTCCCTGTGATAAATTCTGCAGAATAATAAGGTGGAGAAAGAATGACAGCATACATGACTTTCATAGCATGCTCTGTGTGATTATCAAAACATTATTTAAAAGGTACTGCATAAGTATTTGTGTCCTAGTCCAAGTGGTTAGGTGTATTTTATATCTATTACACCGTGTCGTTACATGTGTTAGTGAGGCAGAGAGATTAAATTACTTATTCAGGGTTATACAATGGATCATGATAAAGCTTCTAATAGAACTAGGAGAAATAATTCTGGACTGATTGAGGATGATATAAATTTTTACTATTGATTTAAAAAGAACTGGGATTAACATCAAGCATCTAGATCAAGGGATTCAGAATTAAACCAGTATACACACTCTTCATGTTTGGGGTGGTGGTTTTTGTTTATTTGTTTTGTGGGGGTTTTCTGCTTCTGTATTTTGTTTTTTAGTTTTAGCTACTTCCACAGAAATGAAAATTTCACTACTGTGAATAACAGATGTGCTATATATTGTACAGAAAGAGTGAAATTTTGATTTTGATGCCTGTGAGAGATCTATGCTTGAGTTTGTTTACAAGGACTGGCAAAGGCTGATCTAAAAATCCTTTCTAACCTGCGAATAAAGAGGTATTATGATGATATACTTATCAGCTCATTATAAAATTAATGGGATATTAATTACTAGCAACAGACTCTTACCCTGTTAACAATTCATTAAATATGGTTAATTGTTCTCTAGACGATGCACAAGTAAGAACCACAATTAGTGCTTCAGATTGAGGCTGGTAAAAGCAGAACTAACCGGAATTGTAATTTATACGAGTTACTGGCAACTACCTTTGGGCCCCTGTGGGTGCTCTTGCCTGGGGACGGCAGAAAGGTACAACGGGATCTTACCTTTCACAGCTATGGAAAGCTTCTAGCCCTTTTGCTTGTGGCATGAGAATATAAGACAGTGCAAAGCAAGTAAGGAATAAGTAGATATTCAGCAAGGCAGCAGTTCTTTAGAGAGAAAATGTCTCTTTTGTAAAGGCTTCTCCCATAAACTTGGTGAACAAGAAAAATCTCAATAGCTATTAACCAAAATGTCAGCTGTGCCCTATGGTTAGCTCTTTCGTCCTCATGCATGTCCTTATCTTCGGCTGCGAGCTGGGTGTAGTTTCCAGTATGTAAGTAGAGCACTGGGACATGTGGTTGGAGGGACATGGTTTCTAGTCTGAAAGGAGGAATTGCGGGAAGCTGTCAGGTGGTATTTCATGTAAATCCATGTATCAGAGATTAGGTTAACCACACTGCACCATCAGTCAATTTGTCAAAAAATGCATGTTTATAGGTATGAATATTGCCAGTAAGCTGAAATTGCACTTGGCAGTATTTGGAAATACAGCCATGACTTCACATTCGATTTCAGTACGCTTAGTCAGAACTTTAAAATAAAATATAATGGCTCTGTTGTGCTGATAGCCTAAATTTTTGCTATGTCATGCACAAGGAAAATCAGTAGATTGTCAGTGCTGCTGGGTCATCCTAAATTTAGGACTGGAAATGCTGGGAAGCAGTACATGAAACATTATTTTAGGAGTCCAGACATCACTGAACAACGCTGATGTGTGAACTGCAGCTACTGAAGTATGTGGTTTCTAGCTCAGCTTCTCTAAGTGATAGAGGCAGGGAAACATGGGCAGGATCACACTTGATTCCTGGATGTAGGTAGACTACAGTATGGCCCAAATGCCTGTCCAAAACCACCATCAATCAAAGGGCTACACAAATCAAACTCTGTTGGCAGAAGTCATATTTATGCCTGGCTTTCATTTTTCTGATGCTAGCAAAGGCAGCAAGCGTTCTGATGTATCCTGAATTCCTGGAGACATGGAAGTTGTAAAGCCGTTTTACCTGTAATCTGAAGCACGGTGACATTTCTAGCAACTGGCCGACATAACCAGCAGTTTCTATGAGTCACCCAGACAGATACAGGAAAAGTCCCAGGAAATTCACCAGTCACATTAATCACGGAGTTAAACCGCTGCTCGGATTTCTCTATCAGAATCAGAGGTGCATAAATCCAGTTAAAGTGATACAAGTTTGATGCGACACTGTCATTCTTCACACTTAGACTGGCGTGAACAGTAGCTTGAGCTCCCGTTGTGATGGGACCGTTGTTGATTATTTCCAGACCATACTCCTCTGTGGAAATCAGAAGAAAAAAGCTCTAAACCTTGTTGTATTGCATTTTTAATTTTATTTATTTATTTACACATTGTAACTAGTCAGCTGTAGTTATGTGACTCACAATGACACTCAACCCAGCAAATACTTCACTTTTTTTTTTTTTTAACCGTTTAAAAACCTGGTACAGAATCTATCGCATGTCTGTATGAGTTCAACAAGTAGCATTAAACAACATATTAGACAGGGTCCTAGAGATGCTAATAGTAGAAGGCAGCTTCAGACTAGAACATCACAAAAACTTTGATGAAGTTTTGTAGGCAGAGCTGGGCACTGGCTGTAGGTTCAGTGTCACTAATGATCTAACGCGGTCAGTAAACTTCCAGCTACTGGAAGAAAGTCAAGCTCAGCTCTAATCTTTGTCCTAAAAAAAACGAACTTTCAAACCCAGGTATGATTTCATCCAATAGATTCCTTTGTCAGTTCTGTTCACCCACAAGTCTCTCCCACCTTCCTCCTAACTGAAAAAAACCAACCTCAATACCAGCTGCTGCTTCTCTGTTGTTCACCATTGACTTCCTTTTCCAGAAAAGGACAAAAACCCCCATATAAATGAAACTTGTACCATGGCCTAGTGGCAGATCAGTTTCCATCCAGAGGGACCTGGACAAGCTGAAGAAGTGGGATCATGTGAACCTCATGAGGTTCAACAAGGCCAAGCACAAGGTCCTGCACCTGTTTCAGGGCAACCCGTGGTATCAGTACAGGCTGGGGGATGAAGGGATTGAAAGCAGCCCTGCGGAGAAGGACTTGGGGGTAACTGGTGGGTGAAAAGCTGGACACGAGCTGACAACATGCACTCGCAGACCAGAAAGCCAACCGTATCCTGGGCTGCATAAACAGAAGAGTGGCCAGCAGGTCAAGGGAGGGGATTTGTTATGATGAGGGTGGTGAAACACTGAAACAGGTTGCCCAAAGAGGTGTTAGATGCCTCATCCCTGGAGATATCCAGGGTCAGGTTGGATGACGCTCTGAGCAATCTGATCTAGTTGAAGATGTCCCTGCTCATAGCAGGTGGGTTGGACTATATGACCTTTAAAGGTCCCTTCCAACCCAATCTACTCTATGATTCTATGAAACAGCAAGGCATGAGAAGTACAGGACCTGTGGCACTGAGCCATCTCTGATGCTCTGATTGCCCACCCTTATCTTTTCTTCCATGTTTATACAAGCTACTTATTTCGGCACTTACAACTACTGCAATGGGCAGAGCATCAGTGAGGTTGGGTTTTACAGAAAAGATACGTTCAATTTTTCCAAAAAAATTACAGTGCAACAAGATTAAATGACCTGCATGTGTTAAAAACAACAAAAACCCCCAACCCCAAAACCTCAAAACAAAAGGAAAGGCAACAATTACTGAAAGTTGTGAATTGAGGCAGAGCTAGGAACAGCATCTGGTTGTTGCTGAACATGGAGCATGTTCCCCCCCTGCATCAGTGCTCTGCCTGGCTGTCCTCTCACCAGTGAGCAATGGGGCAATGCTCGGCAGAGCAGCAGAACTGTGGGGGTTCTCATGCTGGTAACTCTCCTTCTCCTCTCTTTCAGCAGCCACCAGATCGCTAACAGGGACCTGAATCTTTGAGCTTTGGAAATTTTATTTCCCACTCATCCATGACCTGTAATGTGGAGGGGAGCACTGGGATCAGCTAACTCCTGTGCTGCCTTTCCTGCACCCATCAGCTTGGGATGGGGTGGAAGAAGGACCGAAAGCATCTACTAAGTGCCACATTTTATTCCATAGGTCATAGGCGCTGAGCAAATCTGGATGCAAAAGGACTGTGAGAAATAACTGTAACATTACTGTCTGAGCAAGAACTCCACTATTCCCATTTCACAACACAAGGAACGGCCCTGACTTCAGATTTTTGAGTTTAAATAGAGAAATGCTTGTGATTTGATGAAATCTGACACAGAGATGCTTCTGGTCTCTAGAAGATTCAGGCTACCCTCCACTTTGTTTCAGCAGAACTTGGGGAAAAAAAAAACAGCGAGCTACCTCACGCTTATCTAGCACTTCTCCTTGGAGGTTATCACGGTGCTTTACAAACCAAGGCCATACTGAAGCCCAATAGCTGCAGCAGTTGGAGATTAGGTGACTAACCCAAGGTCACCCAGCGAGGCACCGGTGGAGCAAAACATCCACTTCACGGATTTCTTGTACCTTTCTGGCCTCTCTTTGCAGCATGCAGCACAGCGAGGCCACCAAATCAAGAGACAGAGGCTGCCGTGTGACCCACCGCGCTGGGTCAGTGGAGGAAGCAGAAGTGCAGCTTTTGGGAAAGGAAGCGCAAAGCAGAACCCCGGCTCCCAGGGATGCCCCAGCTCCGCTGCAAGCACCAAGGTCGCAGCGCCTGAGAATAAAGTCTGGGAGGCGAGAGGGTGCCCGGCGCTGTCTCCATCCCCTGTCGTGACTAGCAAGCCCGGGCAGGGCACCACCACCACCATCCCTAAATGTAGAGCAGCTCACGCTCGAGGT